GCGCCCTTAGACGGTATATCTACTTAATCGGTCTATAGAATATCTTTTCAAAAAGATAAATACTTTAGATTATAAGAACTACGTTTCTATGCTCCTAGCCTATAACAAAACCTTATTAAAAATAATAACTTTATATTATTTTATAAATAATAGTATTATAATATATTTATATAAACGCGTTATTATTATTATTATATATATTTATTAATAAATAAATTATTATAAAGTTGTTAAATTATTATTTAAATAAGTTTATAAATAATAAAAACCCTTTTTTTTATTATTTACCCTTTTATTAAATCTTTTTTTAACCCATTTATAAATTGTTTTTATAAATTTTTTAAGCTAATTATTAATTTTATATAAGCATTTTTTAATATTAATAAGTTATAATATATTAATTAAATATATATATAAATATATATATATATATTATAACCGGCACTACTTTTATTAAAAAGGCCGCCGCCGAGCGCGCTTAAGCTGCTTATATTATTAAAGCTAAAAAGGCTATTATCTACGCCGCTACCGTTATTAAATACGCCGCCGAAAAGGAGGTTCATAAGCTGATTAATAAAGGCCTTAAGGACCCTAAAGAAAAAATAAAAAAAAAATAAAAGTTATAAGATTTTAATAACCTTTTTATTATCGACTTTAAAAATAAAAAACTTTTATATTAATAATTTAAAACTTAAAAAGTTAAAAAAGTAAATTATAAAGCCGTTTTTAATAATATTATTAAAGAAACCGCTATTAAATTTAATAAAAAGATTTTTAAAACTTTTTAAAATATTATTTTTAATATATTTAAAAGATTTATAAAAAAAACATTAATATTTATATCATTTTTATTAAAATAGTTAAATTTAAAATTATTTTATATATTTTATTATTATAAAAAAAGCCTTTTATATTGAAAATAAATATATTAAATATTTTTAAAACGGTTGTATTTTTATTACGGTTTTATTTAATATTTATTATTTATAAAAATAACATTACCGTGCCCTATATTAGCTTAGCTATTTTATACTTAAGTAGCGACAGCTTAGTAAATCTTTAGCTTTATTAAACTAAGTTAGATGTTAAAAAACTAACAATAGTTTTAAAGATTTTTAGGCTTAAATTTTAAAATTATAATAGGCTTATTTTTATATATTTTTTAATTTAATTATTTAGTTATATTATTATGATTTTTAAATTAATATAAATTAATATGATTAATATAAAATAAAAAATATCGATATAATTTAAAAATAATGGATATGACGACTAATAGAACGGCGAAAGTATACTTAAATGTTTTAATTAAATAAATATAAATATTAACGAATTATAAGGATTATTTATTATAATAAATTAAGGCCGACGTATTATTAACAAAAGGACGGTTAAAAAGACACCTTATTTAATAAATAGAAAAGTATTAAAAGCTAATAAAGATTTATTAACTATAAAAATACCGCTGCCGCGCGCCACATTAACTTAGCCACCCTACGCTTAAATAGCAACGGCTCGGCGAATTTTTAACTTTACCGAACTAAATTAAATTCTAAAGAACCGACAATAATTTTAAAGATTTTTAAATTTAAATCTTAAAATTATAATAGGCCTATTTTTATATCTTTTTTAGTTTAAATATTTAACTACATTATTATAGTTTTTTAAACTTTTATAAATTAATATAATTAACGTAAAATAAAAGGTATTAATATAATTTAAAAATAACGGATATAATAATCGACGGAGCGGCGAAATTATATTTAGATTTTTTTAATTAAATAAATACGAATATCGACGAATTATAAAAATTATTTATTATAATAAGCCGAGGCCGACGTATTATTAACAAAAAAACGGTTAGAAAAACGCTTTATTTAATAAATAAAAAAAGTATTAAAAGTTAATAAAGATCCGATCGACGATTTTATTACTTAATATTAATACGACGCTAAAAGTTTTAATTATAAATACGTTTTATAAAACGCTTTATTGTTACTTTAGCGAGGTAATATAAGAGACGGTATATTATATTAAAAATTTAAATAATAAATTAAAACGCCGTTATTTTATAATTTATAATAATATTAAAAAAATAACGTAAAGATTTTTGTAAATCAATTATTAAAATTATAATTATTTAATTTATTAAAAAAGATAAATACAAAAAATATTAAAAACCTTTTAATTATAATTATTATTTTTTTAATAAAAACACGGCGATAATATAAATAAATAATTAAATTAAAATTATTAAAAAAGCGAACGACTTTTATTTTAAATTTTTAATAAGATATAAAATTAAATAAGCCTTATTTAAAATTATTTTAATAATTTAAATTTAAAAAAAAAGCTGCTAAATAAGCTTTTTAAAAAAGACTATTTAAAATATATTTTTAGTTTTTATTTATTAAAAATATATCGACCCCAAAATATAAAAAAAAGAATATAAAAAATAAAAAAAATAAAAAGAAAATACGCTATTTTAAATTTTTATTAAATAAAATATAATATATAATAATTTAAATACGTATATTAATATAAATAAAAAAGAAATTTATAATTACTTTTTTTAATTTTTTTTTAAATTATAAAAAAAATAATTAAATATTAAGTTTTTATTAAAAAATTTAAATTAATTATTTATAAAGCGAAACGATTTTATATATTATATATAAGTTAATTTAATAACGTATTAAGAAATAAAAATAAAAAAAGATTTAAAAAAAATATTAAGCTTTTAAAAAAACTTATATTATTTTTAAAATCGGTTTTTATAATATTATTTTTATACCGTTTTATTATTATTAATAGAACTTACCGTTTTTCAAAATATCTCGCTAAGTAATTAATAAACTAAACGGCCGTATTACGAATTATTTTAATTATTTATTACAAATATAAAAAATAAAAATATATTATATTAAATTATTTTAATATTCCGAATAATATACTAATCGGCCTATAATAAAGCGTTTTTAAAGTTTTCATAAACGCGGTTTAAGTAAAGTTATAATATATTAATTAAAATAATTTTAAAAACGAATAGGTATAGGCCGGTTTTTAATATTATTTTTATTAAAAACGGAATTAATATTTATTAAGGTTATAATTTAAAACCGCGCGTTTATATTATAAATCTTTTTTTTAAAAAAAAGTCGTTATAAATATAAATAGTTATTTTTAAATTAACTTAATTAATATTTAATTAATTAAAAAACTAAGCTTTAAACCGGCGCGTACGGAAACCCCTTTTTTATATAAATTTAATAATAAAAAAAAGGAAATAAAACACGTGTATTAATTAGCGTTTTTATAATAAATTCTAAAAAGAAAATAAAAAAAATATATTAATTATTTATAAATACTTTTTAATTCGTAAAAGTAAATAACCTCCTTTTATTATAACGATTTATAAAGTTAAAAAGTATAATAATTAAAACTAAAATTAATATATAATATTATAATCGTATTTTAATTATAAAACTTGCCGCGTTTATATAAAGAATTATAAAAAATAAAGAAATAATATATACTTTTTACATATATAACGTACTTTACTAATCAGCCGCGTATATTAATTAGCCGCGCACTTTTTTTACAACGCGCTCTATTCTTAGCTATTTAAACTTTTAATATATAATAACTTAATAACTATAATATTAATCTATATTTATTAGTTTACGTAATCACAGGGTGATTTATTCGATCGAACCGTAGTGACGAAAGGTTAATTACTCTTATATTAATCTCTACGTAAATTAGAAAAAAGAGGTTCTAACTATTAATTAAATCGCCGGTTAAACGCTAATATAGAGACCCTCAGATAACCCCTACGCTAGCGCTAACTCGAGGTCGAATTAAGCTTCTAATTTAATACTAACTATCTCTCTTTTATTATTAAACTTATATAATTAAAAAAGCAATTCGATAATCTCATAATAACGTATAATACGCCGTTAAAAATAATATTTATAATTCTTTTTCCGCTTCTTTTTTAAACCCTTTCCGTATAACCTATCCTTCTATATATACCGTAGTCGTTCTATTATTAATAAATCGTTCTAAACCTAGGTTTAGGTTCTATTTAATAAAAACGTTTATTAAATTATCTTTATCGTTAATCTAACAGATCTTAAAAATCTTACGTCGCTTATATAATTACTATAAAACCATAATATTTATTATTAGCCTTTTCTTTTTAATAATACTTAACTTAATAAAGCATTTATTTAATAAATAAGAATCTATATAAACGATTATTAATATTATAAATAAGGTTAATTAATTTATAATCCGTTTAAACGTAGTAAAGATCGTATAGGTAAAGTTAATACTGTTAATTATTTTATAAACTTTTAAAACTAAAACGCTTTTAATTACTTTTTTATTTTTAACTAATAAATAATAAATGATATTACCGTATATTATAAATTCGTCGTCTTTTATAGCCTCGTTTATTAAAGTAATAATATATCCGAATTAAGACGTTAAATCTATATTATTTATAAATAATCTATTAATAAAAACGTAAAGCTTAGTAGAGGCTAGATCTAGTAGATAATAAGTTAATTTATAATTTAAATTTATTATTTACTAACTTAGCCGTTTATTTAGCCTAGTAACGTCTTCTTTAGGTAAATCCGTAACTTACGTTATTTTTATAATATTAAACGTTATTTCTAAGAAATAAATATTAATAATATACGATCTTTTTACCTACTTTATTTAATATCTTTTTTACCAGTTATATAATATAAAACTAATAAGAGTAATCTTTTTTTTTTACTTTTTTAAATAAAAAACGATAATATCACTTTTATTATAAAGATCCCGTTATTAAATATTAATAAATAGTTAACGTATATATATAGCGAGTCGCCTATTATAGCGAATCGCCCATTTTTAAATACCCTCCTACTATTTATATAAGTCAATTAAGCCATATCGTACGAAATTAATTAAAACTACTTATCAGCCTCTTCTTTAGAAATCTTTTAAACTATTTAATATATTTATATATTATATCTAGTCTTTTTATAGTTATTATATTACCGCCCGCGCAATTTAACCCCTTCCGTATAAACATCCTCTTAATATATATTTTCACTTTTAATATTAATAACCCCTTTTTTTATTTAGATTACCTCGGCCTTAGTAGTATTAAGTAAGCCTTTAAAATATAATTATATTTTTTTAACCTTTCGGCGTTTATTTAATATCTTATTTACTATATAAAGCCCGCAGCACTTAGCTTTAATAAAAGCTAGTTTATATACTAACTTATTAATACCTTTAGCTTATAAGTTAATAACTTCGTATAAATATATTAATAAGCTATATTAATAATTATAAATCCATTTCTTAAGTAAAATAGAGCTTCGTACGGCGTTATATATTATAATTAATATCTTTAGGTCCTAAGAGCCCTAGCTATTTAGGCATAAGTTAAATAGTATTAGCGTTTTTAGTTTAAAATCTAAGCGGGAAATAACTATTTTTAAATTAAAAAGTATAATTCTAGCCTATTTAAAACTAATTCGTACGTTTTTTTTACCTATTAAAGTAAAAAAGGCTATTTTAAAAATAAGAAAAAAGTCGTCTTTAATAATATACGTAATTTATATCCATATTATCTTTTTAATTTCTTTACCATATAAAACCTTTAGCAAACTAAAATAATTAATATTAAAAGGCTAAAGCTTATACAATAAATAAAGAAGTATATAAAAAGCGATAATATTACGCTCTTTATAATAATTATTAAATTTAATCGATTTATAATTATTATAGCTATTAAAGATTAAGAGCCGTTTAACACCTTTTATATAAAACTTTATATATTTTTTAAAATACTCTAGCTAATTTAAATCGATTTTATTTATAGTTTATCTATTTTCGCTAAGGTGGATATACTATTCGGGGGGGAATTAGCTATTAATATATTATAAAAAAAGGTAATATTTGCCTTTTACGATAACGTACGGAGGTAGCGCTTAGCTATTTATATATATACCTTAAATAATAGAAACCTATTTTTAATTATTAAGCTGCTTTGTACGAGGCTTTTTACGACGATTAAAGGTTATAATAACCTTTACGTACGAAAGTATTCTTATTAAAAAGCCCGTCTCGTTAAAATTATAAATATTATAATCGTATATTCCGTACTTTATAATCATATTTTATATAAAAATAAACTAAGCTTAGATAATTATAAGATCCTTAGTTAATACCCTTTAATAATCGATTTTATATTAAAAACGCGTTTTTAATTATAATTAGCGTCGTATAAAGTTCTTTATTTATTATAGTTTAATACGCGTCGCGTTGCGTTTAGTAAAAAAGTAATCGGCTATATCTTATACGTTATTAAGTCGCAGTAGAAATCCTTAATTAATTAGGTTAATAACTTATTTAAAAATTACGGTTTTTTTTAAAAAAGTTATTTTCTTTAAATTCGTATGAGTTTTATATTAAAATAATAAGCTAATACGTCGGTCGTAAAGTGTTATTTTTAAGATATTATAAATAGAAGCTACTTTTTATACGGATAAATTTAAGTCTTTTTTAATAATTTAAAATACAAAGATAATACGACTTTTATTTAAAAAAGAATTTATAATCGTACGTAAAGAAAAATAGTTATTAAAATAGAAAGTATAAAAGGAAAGGAAAGTAGGCGACTCGCTATGATAGGCGACTCGCTATATATATACGTTAACAATGAAGATCTTTTTTAATTTAATAATAAATCCGGCTTTTTTAAACTTTTTATCTTCCTTCTATATAAATTCGATATTAAATACGCCTAGCGTATCGTCGGTTTATATATTAACGATCTTATAAAATCCTTTTAAATAATTAAAAATTAATAAGTATAAATCGTAAATTAATATAATTATACCTAGTTATTTAATATAGAAATCGTAATAGGTCGCTTATTAATAAGTTCTTAATTCTATTAGCTTATATAATAATTTAAACACTTCGATAATTATACCTTTTAAATACTTACTAATTATCTCTTTTAGAAAGTAAATAAAGATCTTTTATATTAAACTAATAGCGAATTATGTATATGTTTACGTAATATCCCTATTTTATACGTAATATCTATCTCTAATAAGGGAAAAGATTAAAGCTAACATTAATTATTAACTACTCTTTTAAATTATTAGTAATTATATAAACAATTCTACCTTCTTAACATCGCTATATCCCTAGATTATATAACAAGATTTCTTATATAGCGTATTAATTCCTTTACTTTTAATCTCCCGAACCATATATAACTTAAAAATCTATAGATTAGCGTATTTATCTAGATCGTATAAAACAAAGCGATATACGCCTCGATCTTATAAAGTTTCTATTTCGATAATATCTAAGGCTTTATAAGGCTTACCCTCTACGATAATAATCCCTTTCTTCCGTAGTTTAAAAACTAATTCGAAGTCTATTTTCTCTTTAACTAAATAAAAAATATCGGTATAATTATTAATTAATCTACTATAATTAAAAAACTACGGAATTAAGTTCTTCTAAGGCCGACCTCGCCGCTATTACGGTGGATCTAATAATTAATTATCTAATTCATTAATTACAACGATCTCATTAAAAATAATCTTTAATTAATTAATCTGGTCTTCGCCCTCTTAAATAAGAGGTAACTATTTAACCTCCCTTAGCTCTTCTCTTTTTTCCCTATAGATTATCTCTTTATCTATTTAATTATACGGTCGGATCACCGTTATTACGACCTTAAATAGTTAGTTTTAATCTTTTATAACTATATAGGAGCGCTCGTCGATAAAGATTAGTTTATATAGTCCGGTCCACTTATTTATAATATCTCTCTAAACTTATATATTTAAATTCAATAAAATATTAAGATTTTACGATATATCGGGCCTATTATATGCCGCTAAGGCTTCATTAACCTACTTTTTTACTTTTAAATTTTATAAAACTTATATTACCTTCTTAATCACTTACGCTTTTTAAATAATATTAAGTAATAGCGGTAACGAAGTAGTAGTTCTAAAGTACGATTTAAATATTAATAGCGTTAAAATTAAACCTTATAGTCTAGTAATATCGTTATAATACTTTAATATTATTTATAAATAATCGTTATTTATAAAATTAAGGTTTTTATTTTTAATAATTTTAAACGCTCTTTTTAATTATTAATAAGCTCGTTTAATCTTATCGATATTATAATAAGCCTTAATTAACACTACTTTTAACTCGATCCTATACGATTTAGTATTCTCTTTAAATTTAATAAATTTAAAATTAATTCCGATATTAATTCGTATACCGTTAAGTAGGCCTTAATACGTATTAATTTATTACGCTTTTAATATTACCTAAACCGTTTTTATTTAAAGATCGATAAAAAACTACCTTACTTAAAAAAAAGTAACTAAATCAATTATATAAAAAACTAATTTACTATTTAAATAAAAAATATTTATTTTTATCTTTTAACTAAAGTTAAGCTTATTATAAATTTTAAATTTAAATCGCTATAGGCTTTATACGTTTATTTAATATTAATAATAAAACTTAATTAAATATTTTATTACCGGGATCTTAATGTCGTTACTTAACTACCTAAGTAAGGTATAAAGCTTTTAAACCGATAAGTAACCGAACTTTTAATAAAAGCGCCGTAATTTAATATTTATAAAATAATAAATTAATAAAATACCGGTCTCGAGCTTTATAAAAACGTAGCTTTATTATTATTCGACGGTTTTAAACGTTTTATTATTAATAATCTTATTTATAAAGTTTTTAAATATAATACTAAGGCGATTTATATCTATTAAATGTAAAAAGAAAAGTATATTAATAAGTAATATATAAAAAGTTATAATACCGAATTAAATTTAAATATTAATTATTTTAATCTTAACGATTTATTTATTTAGTTTAAATGTAATTTTAATAATACCGGCTTTAATAATATTAAATTTACTTAAATAGATCTTTTTTAAAATTTAAAACTACCCTTCTCCCCCCGTTAATTATTTTAAAACTCTTATATCTAAAATAATTTTTTAAAAAGTCTTTAATTTATATTAGTCGTTAATAAAATAAGTCTATATAATCCCTTTTATTTAATCGGTTAAATCGTATAAAAAAAATCTTAGCGCTATTGCTAAGCTTATTTTTTCCCTAAGATTACTTTTTTCCTTACTTATTCGAGGTTAAAAGTAAAAGGTTTCTATCTTAGATTAAATTAAAGAGTCTCGAAGTTAGGTAATCTCTTTATTAATAGATCGTAACTAATCGTAAAAAAAAGCCTATTTATTTAAAGCTTCTACGGCTTACTTTTTATTAAATATTAAATAACTAGTTACTAATAAAGCAAAATTAAATTATTAAGTCTTATTTAAAACGTTTAGATCCTTATTATTATTAATTAAATAAGTAGTTAAATCTTTTATATTTCTAAACTTTATAATAAAATTTATAACCTTAAGCGATTTACCCTTATAATTAATTATACTTAGTTAAGTTAGTTTTATTAATAGTTCCTTTTGCCTTTTTATATTATTTATATAATTCGGTTTTTTCCTTTTTTTTAAATAAATATTAAATTAATAGCCTTTTTTTTAATATATATAGTACTTTTAAAATCTACGGAACCCTACCGTAAGAGGCTTTTAAAGGCCGTCCGGAGCTATTCTTCCGTTTTAGCCTTACGATTAGGCGCCCTATTTAGCTTTTCTTTTTTTATTATTGTAAATATAGTTAATTTAATACTATTAATACGGTTCTTTATCGATCTAAAACTATTATTATTTAAGTATCCTAATTTTAATATTAAACCCGGTTCTAAATTAAGTATAAAGCGTTTTATAATCGCTAAATTAGTTTTATAAAATAAATCTTATTTTATTAACTTATTAAATTATAGTTAATATATAATTAACTTTCCGTTTGTCGATTCTTTTTATTAATAGGGTTTTACTAATTTTATTAATTTATAAAATAAGCTTTTTAAAGATCTCTATCTTTAGTTTACCCTCTATCTTTTTTATTATTAATTTAAATAATAAAGCTTTAAGTTTAATAAAAAGCCTTTTTTTTTAATTTTTAATTTTAAAACGGCTTTAAAAGGCGTTAATAATTGTAATAAAATCATTTTAATTAACTATTATATATATAACTTAATAATAATATTCCTTAGCCTTTTCAATAAAAACGATAATAATTATTAAATAATATTAATAATTTTAAATCCTAATCTTTTTATAATTAGCATAGAATATAATTAAAATCTTTTATAAAACTTTATACTTTCCCCCTAAGTACTTCCTTTTTTTAAAAAAGATCTTATTTAAATTGGTTAGTTATTATACGTTAACCGCTTCTAAGCTTAAATCTTCATAACCTATTTAAAAAAAAAAGATTTAAACCACGTTAACCGTAATTAATTAATTATAGTTTAATATTCATATTTAATTAAATAAAATTAAATAGCTTTATTCTTATTAATAATCCGCTAACTATAATAAAAGTTTATAAAAATAATAATAACTTTACTTTTAATAATATCCTTCTAATTCAAATAGATTTTAAAACCGAAATAACTCCGTCCATAATTTTAAATAAGAATTTAAGCTCTTTAGACCGCTAAGTAAACTATTCAAATCGATTAATTACTTAATTAACTTATACTTCGGACTAAATTAAAAAATTAATTACTTAAATTATTATTATAAAAGTTTTGTAAAGCTACTTTGCTAGCGTTTAGTTAAATAAAACTCTATTATTATAAATAAATCCGTTAAATTCCTTAATAATCCGTTTATTTACGAATTTAAATTAATTATTAAGCTAATAGCTTAGGTTATGTTGCAGGCCAGGAGCGTAGAAACGTAGTTTTTATAGTCTAAAGTGCTTGTCCTTCTGAGAGGATCTTCTATAGACCGATTGGGTAGATATACCGTCTGAGGGCGCCCAGGAAGTGGGTTGGTGGGCGCACTTAAGCGGGTACCACCTCAGCCACACGTGGCTGTGCGCTGGACCTCCTGCGACAGGTTATTAATTATATAATAAAATAAGGTTCGCTTAGTTAAGTTCTATTTACGATATATTTTAATTATAAATAATAATACCGTATTAATCTAATCGTTATTAAGATCATCTATATCGTTATATAACTACTTTCTTTAATATACCTAAATATTAATAATAATCTATTAATCCAAGATAAATATTCTTACCTATACCTAGCTTAACTCGCTTAAAATCGTATTACGGCTTATATTAAAACTTAAAATAATCGTTATATTAGTTTTTAATATATTAAAGTTTAACCTATTTAAAAATAGCGGCGGTAGCTTCTTATTGTCGCTCGACTCGTTATTAAAAGTTAAATTAGTTTTTATACCTTAGGTTTATTTTATAATATTTTTTATATTTATCTTTTACTTTATAAATAAGCTTTTAACGCCGTTTCTAATTATTATAAGCTCTTTTTATTTAATCTAAGCGGTTTACTATATTTCGTTAAAGTAAATTATAATTAATTTAATAATGTCTTAAATATATACGTTTCTCCTTAAATAAATACCCGGGAGGCGTATATATTTATTAAATAAATTATTATTATTCGGTAGTTTATTTCCCTTTAAAAGGTATAAAAAGACCGTTTTAAATCCGTTTTTAATCTTATTTTTTCTAAAATTACCTTAGCGCTAGCGTTTTTTTTTAACGCCCGTTATTAAATTATAAAAATATTTATTATTTTTATATAATAAATACTTATAATAAACTAATTAAGTTTAGAAATCTTATAATAGCTTCGTTTTTATTTATAAATCGTCGTTAAAGTAGTATTTTATTCGTTTATTTAAAAAGATAATAAAAAAATTAAAAAAGGGGTTAAATTAAATAAAAATTTATAAAGTTTATTTTATATTTTTAATGTTTTTTTTAATTTAATGGTTATATACTTTAAGTTCGTTAAAGCTACTTTTTTTATTCTTGTTTTTATTAAAAAACGTAAATATAATTTATTTAAAAAATATTTAAATTTTTAATCGCGCGGCGTTTTAATATATTTTTATTACAAGCTTATTCTTTACGCTTATAAAATTAAATAGATTATATAATTTACTTTTTATATTTTTTTTTATATTCGTATTTTATAAATTATAAAATAAATATAAATATTATATAATTCAATTACGTTTAATATAAATATAAAATAAATAAATTTACGTATTTATTACGAAAAGTAAATTTAAAAAAAAAGAAAAAGGTTTTTTAAAATTAAAAAAAATATAAAAAAAAGGATTTTTTTAATAATCAGCGGTTAATTTAAACGGTTCCGTTAATAAACCGTTTAGTAGCGTTATTAATATAATAAACGCCTCCTTTTTAATAAAAGTTTAAAAAATCGAAAATCTTTAATTTAATACGGCGTTAAAAAGTCGTTTCTTTTAGTCTTTATAAAAAGTTAAAATAGTACGATTTTTTTATTCTATACGGTATTAAAAAGTCGCTTTTTCTATTTTATAATAGCTTTATTAATCTACGATAATAATTAAATTATTAATTAATATTAATTTATATAATTATAAAGTGATTTATTCAATCGAACCGTAGTGACGAAGGGTTAATTACTCTTATATTAATCTCTATATAAATTAGAATAAAGAGGTTCTAACCGTTAGTTAAATCACCGGTCAAACGCTAATATAGAGACCCTCAAATGGCCCCTGCGCTGGCGCTGACTCGAGGTCGAATTAGGCTTCTAATCCGACAATATTTAAAAAAAATAAGATTATTTTTATTATTAAAACGATCCAAGCTATACGCGCTATAAGTTAGAAATTTAATATATAATACGTTATAAAAATATATAATATTTTTAAAAATATTTTATATAATAAAATAAATAATTAATTACATTACGATTAAATCTAGCCTTAATAATATAAACTTAATCCGATTAAAAAAAATCTTTTTAATATATTATTAAATAGGATTTTAAAAGATTTCTTTTATAATTTCTTAATATAAAAGATATAATTAATTTTTTATTTTAAATATAAAATAAGACGTTTATTAAAAAGTATTAAATCAAAAAGTTTATCGATTTATAACTAATTTTAAAACTTAAATTTAATCGTTTATATAATTATAAAAAAGTTTTTTTAAAAGGATTTAAAAGTTTTTTTAAAGTGGTTTACGTTATTAAATAATATAATAGCTAAATACGGTATTAATAATAAAGATCTATATAACTTCGACAAAATTAGTTTTATAATAAGCGTTATTACTAAGTTAATAATCGTTATACGTATTAATAAATATAAAAAAACGAAATTTGTTTAACTTAATAACTGTAAATAAACTATAATTATTAAATATATTAATTTAAAAAGGTAGTATATTTTACTTTTCGTAATTATTTAAAGGTTTTATTACTTTATTAATTAATCGACGGAATCCGGTTTCCTAAGTAACTAAATAATTAAGCCAATTATTAATAAATAAACCAATAATAAAATTAACTTAGATTAAATTAAATATTTCGATAAACATACTCGGGCTTATATAAAAAGTATCTATCGGATATTTATAATTAATAAATATAAGAGCTATTTATTAACCGAGTTCGATAAATATTATAAATAAAATAATATTATAACTATCAATATACCCCCGTATTTATTTTACTTACTTTAATTATTAAATATTACGCTTTGCTTATTTTTAAAATACATATATAAAAATAAAATTAACTTATTTATTAAATCCTTTATTAATTATATTGTAAAATCCGAGTTTTTTATTACCTTTTATAAAGCCTATAATAAAATCTTTTAAAATAAAAATATTAAATCCGCTTTCTATAAAACTAAAATTTTATTATAAGATTTAAATTATATAATTAAAAGTTTAATATATATATATAAACGCTTATACTTTTTATAATCGACTTTTTAATATTATTAACTTAATAATTATAAACGTTTTTTAACCGCTACGAAGCGTTTTTATAATTTAATTTTATTAAAACTTAAATCTTAACTTATTAAAAAAGCTTTTTAATATTAATATTTAAAATAGTTAATTAGTTAATAAAAAGTACGTAAGTAATAACGTACTTAATTACGATTTTAATAAATTAAATATATATATTTTAAAATATTAATATAACGCTTATTAAATATTAAAAAATTAAAAAAACATATATTTAAAATAAAAAAATACTTAAATATAAAATTTTTTTAAATTATATTAAAAAAGTTAAAATAAAAAAAAACGTTTAGCGTTTTAAAAAAATAAAAAAAAAAGTTTATTAAAAAAAAGTCGGTCGACTTAATAACGTTACGGTATATATAATAAAATAAATTATAATATACGAACGTATTTTAAAAATATAAAATTATTTAGTAATTTAAAAAGTTAATTAATTTTTGATTTTATAGTTATATAAATTTATAAAATATTTAAAAGGTTAGAAAAAGTGCGCGGCTAATTAATATACGCGGTTAATTAGTAAAATACGATATATATTACGTATAATTATTATTTATTTAAATATAAAAACTTAAATTTTACATAAATTATAAAAGTTTTATCATGTATTTAACGAAGTATTTAATATACCCTTATAGAAATATTTTATAATATCTTTTTTTAATTCCTTTTTTATAATTTTTTAAAAATAAATAAGTTTTATAATTACAAATATAAAGGCCTTTTTAATATAAATATAAATCTCAAGTTATTTTATAAATAAATTTAAGTGTTTATTATTTAAAATACTATTTAAATTATTATTCTTTTATTTAATTAAGCGATTTTTAAAGCATATTTTAATATAATAAGATATTATAAAAAAATATTTTTATTAGTATATATTTATTTTATAAGCTTTTTAAAAGTTTAATTATTAATTTTATTTTAATATTTTTTAATAATCGCTTCTTTTTTTATACGCTTACCTCTTTTTATTAGTTTTTTTATATATATAAAAAAAAGTTTAAAATCGATTTTTTTATTTTTTGTTTATATTTAAAATAAAGGTTTTTTATATATAATAATTATTATTTTTTTATTATTTATAACGTATATACATAGCGAGTCGCCTATTATAATAAGTCGCTTATTTTCTTTTCCTTTTATACATTCTATCTTAATAATTATTTTTTTTTATATACGATTATAAATTCTTTTTTAAATAAAAGTCGTATTATCTTTATATTTTAAATTATTAAAAAAGATTTAAATTTATTTATACGAAAAGTAGCTTTTATTTATAATATCTTAAAAATAATACTTTACGACTAACGTATTAGCTTATTATTTTAATATAAAACTTATATAAATTTAAAAAAATAACTTTTTTAAAAGAAACTATAATTTTTAAACGAGTTATTAATTTAATTAATTAAAAATTTTTATTACGATTTAATAATATATAAAATATAGCCGATTACTTTTTTATTAAATGCGACGGGATATATATTAAACTATAATAAATAAAGAATTTTATACGACGTTAATTATAATTAAAAATACGTTTTTAATATAAAATCGATTATTAAAAGGTATTAACTAAGGATTTTATAATTATTTAAATTTAATTTATTTTTATATAAAATATAATTATAAAATATAAAATATACAATTATAATATTTATAATTTTAATAAAACGGGCTTTTTAATAAGAATATTTTCGTATATAAAAGTTATTATAATTTTTAATCGTTATAAAAGGTTTTATACGAAGTAGTTTAGTAATTGAGAATAGGTTTTTATTATTTAAAATATATATACGGATAATTAAGCATTACTTTTATATATTATCGTAAAAAATAAATATTATTTTTATAGTATATTAATAGCTAATTCCCCTTTAAATGGCGTATTTATTTTAACGAAAATAAATAGATTATAAATAAAATCGGCTTAGATTAGTTAAAATATTTTAAAAAATATATAAAATCTTATATAAAGGATATTAAACGGTTTTTAATTTTCGATAGCTATAATAATTATAAATCAATTAAATTCGATAATTATTATAAAGAGCGTAGTATTATCGCTTTTTATATACCTTTTTATTTATTATACGAGTTTTAGCTTTTTAATATTAATTATTTTAGTTTATTAAAAGCTTCGTATAATAAAAAAATTAAGAAAATAATACGGATATAGATTATATATATTATTAAAAACGACTTCTTTTTTACTTTTAAAATAGCCTTTTTTATTTTAATAAATAAAAAAACGTACGAGCTAATTTTAAATAAGCTAGAATTATACTTTTTAATTTAAAAATAATTATTTCCTACTTAAATTTTAAATTAAAAACGTTAATATTATTTAATTTATATTTAAATAGCTAAGGCTTTTAAGACCTAAAGATATTAATTATAATATATAACGTTATATAAAGCTTTATTTTATTTAAAAAACGGATTTATAGCTATTAATATAGCTTATTAATATATTTATATAAAGTTATTAACTTATAAATTAAAAGTATTAATAAATTAATATATAAATTAGCTTTTATTAAAGCTAAGTACCGCGGGCTTTATATAATAAATAAAATACTAAATAAGCGCTAGAGGGTTAAAAAAATAAAACTACGTTTTAAAAGCTTATTTAATATTATTAAGGCTAAGGTAATCTGAGTAAAAAAAAGGGTTATTAATATTAAAAACGAAAATATATATTAAAAAGGTATTCGTATAGAGGGGGTTAAATTACGTAAATAATAATATAATAATTATAAAAAACCTAAATATAATATATAAATATATTAAGTAGTTTAAGAGATTTTTAAAGAAGAGGCTAATAAATAGTTTTAATTAATTTTATACGATATAGCTTAATTAATTTATATAAATAGTAGGAGGGTATTTAGAAGTGGGCGACTCGTTATGATGGGCGACTCGCTATGTATGTACGTTATTTATTAATAAGTAAATTATTATAAAGTCGGTTATTAAGCTATTACTTAAGCAGGTTAATAAATAATAAAAATACTTTTTTTTCTATTATTTACTTTTTTATTAAATCTTTTCTTTTTTTTAACTTTTTTATAAGTCGTTTTTATAAGTTTTTTAAATTAGTTTTTAGTTTTATATAACTTTTTTTTAATGTTAATAAATTATAATATAGTAATTATATATATATATGTAATAGCCAGCACTACTTTTGTTAAGTAAGCCGCTACCGAGCGCGCCTAGGTTATTTATATCATTAAAGCCGAGAAGGCCGTTATTTACGCTACTACTATTACTAAATATACCGCCGACGCCGCTATTATTAAAAAAGTCGTTAATACTATTATTAAAGCCGTTACTAAAGAAAAGGTTAACGAATTTATTAATAAAGGTTTTAAAGACTTTATAGAGGAGGTAAAAGAAAAAAAAGAGTTATAAAACTTTAATAATCTTTATTTTATTAATTTTAAAAAAGAGGAGCTTTTATATTTAAAACTCGAGTAACGGGCTAAGAAAGCGAGCTATAAAACCGCTTTTAATAACGCTTTTAAAAAAGCCGTTATTAAAGTTTATAAATTTTCTTTTTTTTAAACTTTTTAAAATATCATTTTTAACGTATTTAAATAGTCTATAAGAAAAAAAAAAACATTAATATTAATATTATTTTTATTAAAAGGAATTAATATACGGGTATGAATAATTAATACACGGGCATAACTCTTACATAGGTATAACAGCTATATACTATTATTAGCCTAAAAAAGCTATTGCCCTTTTTTAATTCTACCGGTCTTATTTAAAATATTTAAGAATTTTTTTAATATATAATCGCGACGCGTCGTTTATATTAATTAATTAAGGCTTTATCGTTATATTATTTATATTAAGATCTTTTATACTTAAGTCCGCTCTTCTATTATTAAAACGTAACTTATTATATTAAATTAAGAGCTCGAGCTTAAATAATAAATTTAATTTAAAACGGCGACGTAATAAATATTTTTTTACTTTATAACTTTTTATTATTAATAGTTCGGATATAAATATTAATAATTATTATAATTTTAATAATAATAATACGTTTAAAAATATCTTTATTTTTTATTTAAACCGGTTTTATTAAATTACTCGAGTTTATAATTTACGTAAGAATAACGTAATACTTATTAAAATATAAAATAATTATAAAATCTTTTTTTATAAAATATTTTTAACGATAATTACTTAGACTTATCGAGTTATTATATTAATGTTTAGTTTAAAATACGGTCTATTTTTATTATATTTTATTTTTAAATTTATTTTATAGGATAAGGAGTATCGATTTATATAAGCTATTTTTATAAAAGAATTCAAATTAATATTGC